AATAAGATAGCCATACTCAATGAAGATAACATCATGATTCTGCACACTAAGGTAATTATTGCGTAATGAATAAATCAATGAAGATGTGAATCACTTTAAAAAAAGAAAAAACTAAAAGTTAATATAATTTATTCCAAATCTCCTGCAAAGTGATAACATCAGAATATATATATATATATATATATATATAAGCATATTAACACTGAGTTTAATTTCCATCATTCCTCTCAGCTTTTATTTATGTAAATACCCCTAAAATATAACACAGCAACATATCAAAATGTCTCACTAAAATCATGATAAAGCAATCCTGGCGAGTAATCAGAGCCGAAAGGAACAGTACTGCTGTGGTTCTCAGGCTCCATGAACGCCCATGTCTCATATTCAGAGATCTGATGTTCTCCGTCATTAGTCACGTTAAGATGATCCGGGGGAGGAGCTGCATCATGGCCGGTGAGTTTCTGTACGAGAGACTTGAACTTGTCGGGTGAGGTGCGGATGAGTTTGGGGGAGTGGGTGTAGAAGATGATTGGTTTTTGAGTAGTTGGGGGGGAGGTGGAGGGGGTGATGGAGGAGGAGCGCTTTCTGGGCTTGGTGATGACATGGGAGGTTTTCGTGAGCTTCAGGGATGAAGAATGGCTCATGGCTACGAAGCTGTGAAGATAGAGGAGAGAGAGTGTTGAGATAGAGAGAGAGAGAGAGGGAGGGAGGGGGTGGATGAGGAAAAGGGGCATCGAAGTATGGGAGGGTGGCGGGGTTTTAGTTAGGATTGGAGAGATAAGTGGGATGTGGGCATTTGATTTTTGGGGCATTTAGATATATGGGACACCTAATTTTTATGTATTTACATATTTAATTTCTAAACTTTATTTTTTTATTTTTGTAATGTGCAATTCTTTTATGCCACATCAAAATTATGAATAGTCTATCTATGCATATTTTCATGCATAAATAAGATAATATATAGTTAGTTTAATCTAAATTGTGTGTGTGTGTGTGTGTGTATATATTGCCTCATAAAATTTTTGATGGATTTTCATCTATTTTTTCTTTTGTTTCTAAACAAGTTTATTTAGCGTATTTTTAATATATTTTTTATTTATTCTTTCTAAAAATAAATTAACATGTTTTTTAAATAAAACTTTTTATGTGTTTTGAAGATTTTTAAAAACAATCGTACTTTAATTAAATAGACAATTATATTTTATTTCAAATTAAAATATAATAAAAAAATTAAATAAATAAAAGTGATCCCAAATAGGGCCTCCATTTGGATCAATTTTATTTTCTATTTTTTGTTTTTTTTAAAAGCATGTTTGGATAATGTAATTTTTATAAATTTTTATTTTGTGTTTGTAAAACAACTATCACATCCAAACATCTTTTCTCTTAAATCAAATTAAACAAAAATATAAAAATATATAATATAAAACAAAATATAAATGTGATCCTAATCAAGGCCTAAGAGTTTGAGATATAGGGCACATATGTTTGGGTTTGATAATGAGAGCAACTAAAAAGGTAATTAATACACTCTGGGTATTTTAACAAGAGAGAATGTGAAGTGCAATAACATAAAGAGAAACTCAAAATTTTATAGTTATTAAGTTGAGAGACCTGCATGCATCAGACACTATTAGATATTTTGTCCCGAAGGATCTGAATTTCATGTATATCATGGTTGTACACATTATAGGACAATTTATACAACTTATACAACCTCGTTGTACATGAAGTCCGGCCGGATGTATCCAGACAAAGTACGTAATATTATTTCTTGGCTACGAGGATTTATTTCTTGTTAAGGAACAAGATAATACATGATTATAAATAACATGGAAAAGAAGATAGGATATATAATTTCATGCCAATAGCTTAACTACTCAATATCTTATATATATCGCTAACTATGCCAATGAAAATCGTGGCTTTTACTCTATTATAAAACTATTATGTTGACGTGCTTCCCCTATTGTGTCAAGAGACAACACTTGAAATGTATAATTTAATTTCAAAATCTTTCCTTAGTTTATTTTTTTGCTACGGAAGATGGGTTTATTGTACATTTTAACATACACAACTGATAGCAAAAAATATTATTTGTGGCAGACCACACGTTCGGATGATGGTCCGGATGTGACCACGCCGCTGTGTATCACATAGCGACCCATTCAGATCATTGTTCAGAAGTGTGATCGTTGCACGTATATTTTTCTTACTAACAACATATTTGATTCAAGTTTCATTATAAATTAAGTAACTTCACTGTCACTAATAGACATTAATTACAATAAACTCTTCATCTAGAGGAAATTAAGCTTGTTTGAGATCACTTAAAAAGTCACTTGTAAGTTCTATTTTAATGGCTAATATTAAGAATATATTAATAATATTTTTTTTTCTAGAGCTAATCTTTCCATCAAATTTTATGTCATTATATGTCTTTGTCAATAAAATCCAAATTAAGAATATATTTACTCTATGTTTTTGTGTGTGTGTATATATATATGTTTACATACATCCCACTTAATACTTGTATTTTTATATACCTAACACCTAAGTTTTTTTATTTACGTACATAACACTCAAATATTTACTATTACATAAAAAATATCACTATTACAAGATTTTTAAAAGTGAAATACACACACGCAACGCACACTAATATATATATATATATATATATATATATATATATGCTTTTCACTTAGAGAAAGTATTCATGTTGTGTGTTGAGAGGGATAATTTATAAAATTTATATTTTTATCATCATATAAATGGTGCTTTGATCAATAATGATAAGCATGATAATGATTTTATTTTGATGCTTTCTTGGTTGAGAATGAGGAAATATTTATTTGAATTTACATGTGATAATTTATCATGGAAGAGAATTTTGAAATGGCTAAATAGAGATATGGTTAGCTATGAGAGGTGACCACCATAAAAAAATGCCCCAAACTGAATATACAATCATTAGATATGCCATAACATTGTAGTATTATGCTTGTAAAGACATCTTAAAATTGGGAAGAAAATGCAAAGTACCTTGGATGTAAATCACTAAGGATGTTGAACTAGAACAATAATAAAACAATCATGAGCAAAAAAACAATTTATCAACGGTAATGAACTGAAAAATAAGTTATAAGAAGTATTAGAACTTTTTTGTATAAATTCATATTAATTATAATTATAAATAATGATTATGCTTGCTTTGAATAATTTTTAAGATTTTTGTTAGTTTTATTTGTGTATAAAGCAATGGAGACAATTTCTATTTGTTAATATATATACTCTTTATGAGCCTCTCCTAGTTAGGGGTGTCAAGAGGAAAGTGCACATGACCACATATATTATAGATGAGAGTGATGGTTAATTTGGAGAAAAGTGAGAGAGGTAGCTAAAGAATAATCATCTTCATCAGCTTATGTCCTCAACCAATCAATCACTGTTATTATAGTTATTAAGGATTGGAAGAATAACTAACCAAAATCAAAGAATAATTAGTTGACCTTGAAGTAGAAAATGAATTTTCTAAGAACTTTTATATTGAATATTATATATAAGGAGCTGAAGGGGATTTATAAAGAGAATGAGCCTTGCTATTAACTTACCCATTCATGCTAAGATGATGATAAGGTGGCCAAATCTAAGCATGATATCACAGAGGCCACTTTGGCTAATTTTATTATTTCTTCAAAGACTAAAATGACATGTTATTAAAAGGAATAAATGATATACCATCACTTCCTATTATATGTAAAAATAATATGGTAAAAATGCAAAAAATATTAGAGTATCTATTAACATATAGAGTTAATTGATTATCAAATAAGAAAATAAATGAAAGTAATTATTTGATTAAATATTTCATGGACCCATTAGACAAAAAACACAAGGTAATGGATCCTCACATCATTAACCACCTCCACTTAATTGATGAAGAGCACCTAACTTTTTATAAGACTTTTTTGGGAAGATTGAAATATAAATCCGAAAAAGGCATATATGATTGTCACAATGATGTTTAGTGTGGTTTCTATAATTAAATACACTTATGTTGTGCCTACATAGTAAGGTAACTATCGTATTAATTTTTTATTGGCGTAAGTTTTTTGTTGTGTGATTTAATTATAAACAACAACAACAACAACAACAAAACCCAGATGAGTAATTTTTCTCCCTTGCGTCCTATTTAGTGTCATATTTTTATTTAGTTCCAATAAATTAAGATCATTCTTTATACATTAAGCCCAAGTCTTCCTGGTTCTACCTCTGCCTTTCTTAACATAAGTCAAATATCTAATCAGATCATCAGATGGTTGACGTTTAATGCGACCAAACCATCTAAGACGACTCTCTCTAATTTTGTCCGTCACTGTAGCTACACCAACTCTATCACGAAGATATTCATTTCACATTTTGTCTCTAAGTGTAAAGCTACTCATCCACCTAATCATTCTCATCTCTGCAACACTTAACTTAGTATTATGCTTCTCTTTTAAAAGTCAACATTTAGTGCCATAGAGCATTGCAAATCATCCACTTCTATCATTAGAGCTACTACTAAAATTACATTCCATGTATTCAATTTTAGTTCTACTCAAATGATGACCTTTAGATTCCAATGTTGACCTCCATAATTCAACTTTTTCCTGAGTTTTTTCTCATCTTAACCACGAGAAGGATATCATCAGCAAAAAACATACACCAAGGTGCATCCTCCTATAAATGTTCAATAAGACCATCCATAACTAAAGCAAAAAAATATTGGCTTAAAGTCGATCCCTAATGTAATCCAACAAAAATAGTATACATATCATTAATGACTTGAATATAAGTCATATCATGTGCATTAGGAGTCTCAACGAAACTTTAATTTTCTAAATTTATTGAGTGTAAAAATCTTATCTTATTACCGCGCAGAACTTCTTTGGATTTGCATACCATTCCTTCTTATCACTCTTGTCAAACTTATCTTTGTATTTGTATACCATCCCTTCTTATCACTCTTGTCAAACTTATTTCATCGCATGCTGTCACAGAGAGTCCAGCCTTGCTCCATAGCAGTTTACTTCTAAGAGAAGAAAGCAGGAATAAGAAGCGAATAAGGGTTTTATCCCACAGATTAAGTTTGTGATTGGGGGATCGATCGCAATCTGGAGGAATGGGTTTTGCTTTTTCCTTTGGGAGGAACAAAATGAAGTTTTGATAGATTTTTCTTGGTTGGGAATAGGAAATGTATTATATGAAGGGAGAGGGTTTTTAGCCTTGGATCGATCGTTGAAAGGAGATTTTTGTGTTCTGGAAGGGAGACATGGCTATGATGGATAAAACTCGCAACCTTCTGGAGGGGTTCATGGAGGGTCCCTTCAAATGGGCTCTCAGTCGCCGAACTTCCTTTGATGAGGAATATGAGGAGATGGGCCGATCCCCTTCTGGTAGAAGGAAGTGGATTCCGGAGCTCTCTCAGATGGCTAACGTGATCGTCGGCCGTTGCTCGCGGTAAGTTCCGCTGTCGCTGTTCTTACCGTCGTGTTGTTGTTGGATCAAGAGAAATTTATTTTTATTTTGTTAGTCTCAATTTAGTTTCAGTTTCTTATCCAGACTTTTGCGTAATTTGCTGCACAGTTTTATGAAACACAAGCAAAAATGTAATGTGAGGGTTAAGTCATTTCGTGTACTGGATTGATGGTCTTTCGGTGCGCTAACCGTGAAGTTGATTTTTGTGTGTTCCATCAAAGTTTATGCTTCATAAGGAAATTTGACATGACTATTCTTAGAAACTGGTTTCTCGATGTATAATTGTCAGATCTTGTATTGTTTTTATGTAGCAATAATTGATGTGCCTCTTGGGTTCTTACCGATTCTGGAAAAGCTTATATAAGCTTGTATAAGCATGTATGGTCTTGCTGAAACTATTGCTATTCTTTATCACCATTTGTGTGGTTGAATTCAACCCAATTATGCCTTTTTCCCATTGTTCATATTAATCCCAGACAGTTTTGTGTATATCTTATTGAATGCATCATAGAGATCTGAGTTTTTTTTGGAAAACATGAGAATGATATTGATGCTTAATTTTTACTGCAGAATTCTTGATGTTTCTATGGACGAAATTCAGAGAAATTTTGACATGGAAGCATCTGAGGCCTTAAAGAAGCCCTCAAATTATGCCAGAAATTTCTTAGAGTACTGCTGTTTCAGGGCATTGGCTGTAATGACTCAAGTTGCAGGCCATCCTGCTGATCCAAAGTTTCGGCGCCTTACATTTGATATGATGTTGGCATGGGAAGCTCCCTCCGCGGCAAGCCCACCCTCACCCAGGGCAAGAAACCTTTTTCTACTCAGTATTATTTAGAATTTAAACTGGATCTCATGTCCACCATTTACACCATCCATTAAAGCTTATTTTAAATTTTTATTCAAAACCCTAGCTGGTATAAGCACTTAATCCAAATGGATGCACATTCTTCTTGCCATGTTACTGTAATTTGTTGTCTAATTCTTTTGCAAATCGTGACAGGTGTCTAATGACAACACTGTTGGTTTAGATGCATTTTTGCGCATCGCCCCTGCTACACCCATTATTGCAGATATAATTACATGTTCCAATATCTTTGACGTGCTTGCGAATCCAAGTAGTGGCCGGCTTTCATTTGCAGCCTATGAGAAGTACCTTGGTGGTTTAGACAGGTTAACAATTGATAAATTGTTGTTGAATATATTTTTTTTTAAAAACATCAAGTGTTGTATTTCTTTTTTGGGAAAATTACATACGTAGCACACAATTCTTATAAATTTAACTCTTTTTGAAAAGATGTGATTGATTCAGTTTAGCCATTCTTTAAGGGTCTGTTTAGTTGGAAGCTTTTATAGTACATGTATTTTAGAAATACAAAGTAATTGAAAATGCTTGCATTTTAAAAACACATTAGTTGTTTGGTTGAATTTAACAACAACAAAACCTACATCCCACTAAGTGGGGTCGGCTACATGAATCCTTTTTTTTCATTGCATTCTATGTAGTGTCGTATTGGTGTCATATTGTTATTTAATCCTAATAAATTAAGATCATTTTTTATACAATATGCCCAAGTCATCCTAGGTCTACCTCTGCCTTTCTTAACACAAGTTGAATCTAAAACATCTATTGTTCTAATCGTATCATCAGATGGTTGACGTTTAATGCGACCGAACCATCTAAGACGACTCTCTCTAATTTTGTTCGTCACTGGAGCTACACCAAACCTATCACAAATATATTTATTTCACATTTTGTCTCTAAGTGTAAAGCCACTCATCCACCTAACCATTCTAATCTTGGCAACACGTAACTTAGTTTTATGTTTCTCTTTTAAAGGCCAACATTTAACGCCATAAAGCATGTGTTTTAGAAATACAAAGTAATTGAAAATGCTTGCATTTTAAAAAGACCTAAGTTGTTTGGTTGAATGTAACAACAAAAAAACCTTTATCCCACTAAGTGGAGTCGGCTACATGAATCCTTTTTCTCCATTGCATTCTATTTCGTGTCATATTATTATTTAATCCTGATAAATTAAGATAATTTTTTATACAATATGCCCAGGTACCTCTGCCTTTCTTAACATAAGTCGAATTTAAAACATCTACTGTTCTAATCGGATCATTAGATGGTCGACGTTTAATGCGACTGAACCATCTAAGACGACTCTCTCTAATTTTGTTCGTCACTGGAGCTACACCAAACCTATCACAAATATATTTATTTCACATTTTGTCTCTAAGTGTAAAGCCACTCATCCACCTAACCATTCTAATCTTGGCAACACGTAACTTAGTTTTATGTTTCTCTTTTAAAGGCCAACATTTAACGCCATAAAGCATGTGTTTTAGAAATACAAAGTAATTGAAAATGCTTGCATTTTAAAAAGACCTAAGTTGTTTGGTTGAATGTAACAACAAAAAAACCTTTATCCCACTAAGTGGAGTCGGCTACATGAATCCTTTTTCTCCATTGCATTCTATTTCGTGTCATATTATTATTTAATCCTGATAAATTAAGATAATTTTTTATACAATATGCCCAGGTACCTCTGCCTTTCTTAACATAAGTCGAATTTAAAACATCTACTGTTCTAATCGGATCATTAGATGGTCGACGTTTAATGCGACTGAACCATCTAAGACGACTCTCTCTAATTTTGTTCGTCACTGGAGCTACACCAACCCTATCACAAATATATTCATTTCGCATTTTGTCTCTAAGTGTAAAGCCACTCATCCACCTAACCATTCTTATCTCGGCAACACTTAACTTAGTTTTATGCTTCTCTTTTAAAGGCCAACATTTAATTCCATAGAGCATTGTTGGCCTCACCACCATCTTTTAAATTTTCTTTTCAGTCTAAGCAGTACTTTTCTATCACACCCGAAACATTCCTCCACTTCAGCCAACCAAATTGAATTCTACTAATAACATCCCCATCAATATCACCATCACCTTGAATAATAGACCCGAGACATCTAAAGTGTACACACCTTTTAATAATTTGATCACCCATAGTTATATTTCTGTCACTGGAGCTACTACTACTAAAATTACATTCGATGCATTCAGTTTTAGTTCTACTCAAACGAAGGCCTTTAGACTCCAAGATAGACCTCCATAATTCAAGTTTTTCCTGAGCTTTTTCTCTCGTCTTACCCACGAGGAGGATATCATCAGCGAAAAGCATACACCAAGGTACATTCTCTTGTAAGTGTCGAGTAAGACCATCCATAACTAAAGCAAAAAAAAAATGGGCTTAAAGTCAATCCTTGATGTAAACCAACAGAAATAGGAAATTATTTGGTCAATCCTCCTTCTCTTCGAACATAAGTAACAGTTCTTGTATACATATCTTTAATAACATGAATATAAGTCATATCAACACCTTTCTTCTCAAGAACTCTCCAAAGGGTATATCTTGGATCCTTATTATAAGTTTTTTCTAAGTCAATAAAAATCATATGCAGTTCCTCCTTTTTATCTCTGAACATCTCCTTCAAACCTCTCAATAAATGTATAGCTTCCATAGTAGACCAGCCTTGCATAAATCCAAATTGATTATGAGAAATCTTTGTAATACGTCTTAACCTATGTTCAATTACCCTCTCCCATAATTTTAAAGTATGACACATCAACTTAATTTCTCTATAATTGACACACTCTTGTGCATCCCTTTTATTTTAAAAATGGGCACCAAAATACTCTTCCTCCATTCGTTAGACATCTTTTTAGTTTTCAAAATAATGTTAAAGAGTTTAGTAAGCCAATCCCAAATATTTCCACACTTCAATTGGGATATCATCAGTTCCTACAGACTTTCCACCATTGGTTTTCTTTAAAGCCCGATCAACTTCTTTTTCACAAATGCGATGGTAAAAATAAAATATTTTATTATTATTAACCTATGTTCAATTACCCTCTCCCATAAATTTAAAGTATGACACATTAAATTAATTCCTCTATAATTGACACATTCTTGTGCATCCCTTTATTCTTAAAAATGGGGACTCAACCTCCACTCCTCACAACCTCCACTCCTCACGCATCTTTTTAGTTTTCAAAATAATATTAAAGAGTTTAGTAAGCTAAGAAACTCCCAAATCTTCCAAATATTTTCACACTTCAATTGAGATATGATCAGGTCCTACAGACTTTCCACCATTGGTTTTTGTTAAAGCCTCATCAACTTCTTTTTTACTAATGCGACGGTAAAAATGAAATATTTTATTATTATTAACGATATTAAGTCACTAAGGTCGATTATGTTTCCCGAAACTTCATTAAAATGCTTATAAAAAATAACTTACCCACCTATTTTGAATATTTTTTTTCTAAGTAAAACATTTTTTGATTTTTATCTTTAATACATTTTACTTGAGTTAAATCTTTACTTATCTTTTCTCTGTTTTTGGCTAGTTTATACATAAATTTTTCACTCTTCTTAGTATCTAATTTATTTTAAGTTCACTAAAAACAGAATTTTTAGCGTCATAGATTGCTCTCTTAAACTCCCTACAGACCGTTTGATATTTTTCTCAGTTCTCTAAGCTTTTACTTTTAAACTAGTTTTTATAACAAACTTTATATTTTTTCTTTTCTTGTACATTATTATTCCACTACAAACTATTTTTATTTATAGAAATTTTTTGTCTTGATTCTCCAAGTACAACTTTTTCCCCTTGTTTAATAGTTTTTGTTACTTTATCCCATATAGAATTTCATTCTTCATGAACATCCCAAATTTTGAAATCTTAAATTTTACTCATAAAAATAATTTTATTATTGTCTTTTAGATAACTCGTCTAATTCTACGATAATGATTCATAGTATGGTTTATTTTACAACTCTTTATCTTAAAATTTAAAACTAATAATCGTTGTCGAGTACTTAAATCTTTGCGTAGAATGACCTTTCATTCTTTACATTCTCAACGATCTCTTATTCTCATAAGAAAATAATCAATTTGTGTTTTATTAACTTCATTCTTATAAGTAAGAATATGCAAGAATATGCTTATCTCTTTTTTTGAATAAAGTATTAGCGATAACAAAATCGTGCAACAATAACAACAAAGCTTGAATCCCACTACGTGGGGTCGGCTGCATGAATCTTTTTTCTCCACTGCATCCTATTTAGTATCATATTTTCATTTAGTTCTAATAAGTTAAGGTCATTTTTTATACAATAAGCCCAAGTCTTCCTAGGTATACCTCTGCCTTTTTTAACATAGTCAAAACTAAAACATTACTCTCCTAATCAGATAATCAGATGGTCGACGCTTAATGTGACCAAACCATCTAAGACAACTTTCTCTAATTTTGTCCGTCACATGAGCTACACCAACCCTATCATGGATATAATCATTTCAAATTTTGTCTCTAAGTGTAAACCCACTCATCCACCTAATCATTCTCATCTTGACAACACTTAACTTAGTATTATGATTCTCTTTTAAAATTCAGCGCCATAGAGTAGCGCCATAGAGTATTGCAGGTCTCACCACTGTCTTATAAAATTTTCCTTTCAGTTTAAGCGGTACTTTTCTATCACACAAAATGCCCGACGCATTCCTCCACTTCAACCAACCAACCTGAATTCTACTATTAACATCCTCATCTTTATCACTATTGCATTGAACAACAGACCCGAGATATCTAAATCACTCACATATTTTAATAATTTGATCACCCAAAGTTACACTTCTGTCACTAGAGCTACTACTATTAAAATTACATTCCATGTATTCAATTTTAGTTCTACTCAAATGAAAGCCTTTATACTCCAATGTAGACCTCCATAATTTAAGTTTTTCCTGGGCTTTTTCTCTCGTTTTTTCCACATGAAGGATATCATCAGCAAAAAGCATTCACCAAGGTACATCCTCCTGTACATGTCCCGTAAGACCATCCATAACTAAAACAAAAAGATATGGGCTTAAATTCGATCCCCGATGTAATCTAACAGAAATAAGAAAATATTCGGTCAATCCTCCTTCATCTCGAACACAAGTAACAACTTTATTATACATATCTTTAATGACTTAAATATAAGTCATATCAACATCTTTCTTCTCAAGATCTCCAAAGGATATCTCTTGGAAAATCTTATCGTATGCTTTTTCTAAATCAATAAAAATCAAATGTAGATTCTTCTTATTATCTCT